TCCTTCCCTACAAACAGCTTCTGAGCTCCTCTTCTGGGCTGGATCCAGTCCCAGGGTGTAGGATACTGAGTTAGGACAGAAGAAGTAAAGATAGGTAGAAAGGAGACAAAGAAATTATAATTTAAAAATTGTACTTACTGTTTTTTAAATCTTTTATTTATTTGGAACAGGGTCTGGCTACGCAGCTCGGACTAGTAGTGATCCTCCTGTCTCAGCCTCCCCAGAGCTGGGGTTATAGGCGTGCACCAGCAGATTCAGTTTCGGGGCCAGCACTGCATGCAGTCCCGAGGATCAAACCCAGGCCCTTGTGCTTTCCAGGTAGGCACTTAGACTACTGAGCTATCTCCCCAACCCCTAAAAAGTGCACTTTTATTTTTTATTTATTTATTTTTATGTATTTGGTACAGGGTCTCACTACATGCCTGGGACTTGTGATCCTCCTGTTTCCAGCCTCCCTAGCTCTGGGATTACAGGCACGCGCCACCATGTCCAGTCTCAGTCATCCCTCAGCGAGCTCAGGGATTATATTCCACACAGCATGCAGTGCTGGGGATTGAACTCTTGATCCTGCGCTTGCCTAAGCAGGCGCTTAGTCCACTGAGCTATCCTGCTGGCCCTGTACTTTTGAACTGGGCCTGCGTGGTGCCTATCCTAATTGCCTATTCTGGACAGTTTAGCAATTTAGGGAGAACCTGTCTAAAAAACACAAATGGGTTTGGAATGTAGCCCAGTGAAGAAAGGCTTTAATCCCCAGTACCACCACCACCAAAATACTAAATAAAGTAAAATAAAATATTCTTCTAAGAAAACTGCAGTGTTAGGAATATAGCTCAACAGCACAGGGCTTGCCTGCCAAGTGTGAGGTCCTGAGTTTGATTCCCTGCTCTGAAAACTCAAAAACAAGAAAATCCTGCAGCTTTAAGACGCAAAGTTACCCAAGGTTACAATGCCCTTCTTCATGCCTGGGCCTGTTATTTTGTCTAAATTCACTCCTAAATTCCAAAGAGTCTTTTTTTTTTTTTTTTCCTCAAAGAGTCTTAAAGATACCTTAAGTTTGCAAAGTGGGCCTGTGTTTTTTGTTTTTGTGTTTTCTGATCCTATAAATCCACAAATCCCACACACTTCCACCTCAAGGAAACAGCACTGTGAATCAGGGACCTTATCTCTAAATTTCAAAAACATGTGGACAGTTTGGATTTTAACCTAGTCCACTCATGGATAACCTGATGGGCACGAAGGAATACACACCCTGGGTCATCCATCTTGAGGAGACCCCAAAACCTCCCAAGCACCCTAGCCCTAGCTGATGGTGTGCCTTGCGCTCAAGCACCCTCAGCTTTCTGGGTGTGTACTTTGACTGCCTTTAATAAATCTACCTGTGCCTCGTAGTGACACATGCTAAAATGCTTTCTGTGATGAGTTGGTGACCTACTACTCCGTGGGTGGGAGAGTAGGGGTGAGCTGAGGTGCCCATCTCCCCTGGGAGGACCTCCTCAGATCCCATGGGGGACAGTGTCAGCACACCTCTAGGAGAGGCTGTTTTTAATCCAGGGAGTTGTGAAGCCTGCAGTGTCACGTTGTGTGTTCATAGGCTGTTTGGTCAGGTGTGGCCGAGGGAGGGAACATGAGACAGGATTACAGAGGGAGAAAGTTTAGTATACTACATTCCAGACAGGAGGCCTTACCTGCCGTGAAGGTCACTTGGGACAACATGAGGGTGGTCAAGAGTCAGTAGACTAGGATGAGGGGAGTGATCAGGCCTTCATTTTTATTGGAGTTGCTGAGGGAGAGGCAAGACGGGGCAGGAGAACCAAGTGACCAGTTTAGGACCGGCCAATAGGAACAGTTCCAGGCAAAAGGTACTCCTCGGGTGCACCGGGTCCTGGTGGCCCGGCTGCCACTGGGTTAGTTTGCATATGAAAAGCGTGCGCGGGTGGGTCCTTGGTGGGGTGAATCCCTGAGAATGGGCAAGCCTAGGAGGGGCAGTCTCTCCCCAGCTAGGAAGATTTTTTTTAATGTAAAAAACATTACAGGCAGAAAATATACACAGTGCGTTCAGTAATAACACCTCTTTTCTAGGACGAAAGTATGCCTTAGTATTTACATACTAAAATAATTCACTTATGAAATTTTGCCGAATCCTGAAAATCTGCTCAGGTTTTATCTCTGCTTTATTCAGAGAAGCAACTTCCGTGTTTAAAGAAAAAAATAAAAGGGAAGAAAACCCGAGGCTTTCCCAGGACCCCGGGGCTGTGGACCGCGTCCCCGGCAGCGGCAGCGTCGCCTTTGTCTCCACAGCTCCCACAGCTTCGGGCAACGCAACGCTCCCCTTCGTGTTGTTCTCCTGTTGTTTTTTTAGGGGTCAATCCAAGCCCGCGCTGCTGATAAATTCATTATAAAACCGCTTGCTCTCTTATTCCAACTCTTTTCTCTTAAGAAATGCGCATATATTTTGACGCAGGAACCAGTTTCTTTGTCTATTCTTCAGCACTTAGCTTTCAGTAACTAGGGAGCAGCGGCAGCATCAAGAACCTTTTGTAGCAAATGATGCTTTCCTATAAACTAACACAACATTAAATCTTTTTCAAGGCTACACAGATTATCATTATTTATATCACTTAAAATTTTAAAAAATATTTTATTTATTTGGTACATCTCGCCACGCAGCTCAGACTCGTAGTGGTATTCCTGCCTTAGCCTCCCAAGCGCTGGGGTTACAGGGCTGCACCACCGCGGGGGGTCTGGGGCTGACAAGAGCATCCGGGAATTGAACCCTGGCCTTTGCTCTGGCCAGGCAGGCGCTT